GCAGCTAGAACGATGGCAGCAAGGGACATGACACCCTAGAAGTGACTTTTGAGTCGACTCAAAAGCAGCTAGAACGATGGCAGCAAGGGACATGACACCCTAGAAGTGACTTTTGAGTCGACTCGAAAGCAGCTAGAACGATGGCAGCAAGGGACATGACACCCTAGAAGTGACTGTTGAGTCGACTCGAAAGCAGCTAGAACGATGGCAGCAAGGGACATGACACCCTAGAAGTGACTTTTGAGTCGACTCAAAAGCAGCTAGAACGATGGCAGCAAGGGACATGACACCCTAGAAGTGACTTTTGAGTCGACTCGAAAAGCAGCTAGAACGATGGCAGCAAGGGACATGACACCCTAGAAGTGACTGTTGAGTCGACTCGAAAGCAGCTAGAACGATGGCAGCAAGGGACATGACACCCTAGAAGTGACTTTTGAGTCGACTCAAAAGCAGCTAGAACGATGGCAGCAAGGGACATGACACCCTAGAAGTGACTTTTGAGTCGACTCGAAAGCAGCTAGAACGATGGCAGCAAGGGACATGACACCCTAGAAGTGACTTTTGAGTCGACTCGAAAGCAGCTAGAACGATGGCAGCAAGGGACATGACACCCTAGAAGTGACTTTTGAGTCGACTCGAAAGCAGCTAGAACGATGGCAGCAAGGGACATGACACCCTAGAAGTGACTTTTGAGTCGACTCGAAAGCAGCTAGAACGATGGCAGCAAGGGACATGACACCCTAGAAGTGACTTTTGAGTCGACTCGAAAGCAGCTAGAACGATGGCAGCAAGGGACATGACACCCTAGAAGTGACTTTTGAGTCGACTCGAAAGCAGCTAGAACGATGGCAGCAAGGGACATGACACCCTAGAAGTGACTTTTGAGTCGACTCGAAAGCAACTAGAACGATGGCAGCAAGGGACATGACACCCTAGAAGTGACTTTTGAGTCGACTCGAAAGCAGCTAGAACGATGGCAGCAAGGGACATGACACCCTAGAAGTGACTTTTGAGTCGACTCGAAAGCAGCTAGAACGATGGCAGCAAGGGACATGACACCCTAGAAGTGACTTTTGAGTCGACTCGAAAGCAGCTAGAACGATGGCAGCAAGGGACATGACACCCTAGAAGTGACTTTTGAGTCGACTCAAAAGCAGCTAGAACGATGGCAGCAAGGGACATGACACCCTAGAAGTGACTTTTGAGTCGACTCGAAAGCAGCTAGAACGATGGCAGCAAGGGACATGACACCCTAGAAGTGACTGTTGAGTCGACTCGAAAGCAGCTAGAACGATGGCAGCAAGGGACATGACACCCTAGAAGTGACTTTTGAGTCGACTCAAAAGCAGCTAGAACGATGGCAGCAAGGGACATGACACCCTAGAAGTGACTTTTGAGTCGACTCGAAAGCAGCTAGAACGATGGCAGCAAGGGACATGACACCCTAGAAGTGACTGTTGAGTCGACTCGAAAGCAGCTAGAACGATGGCAGCAAGGGACATGACACCCTAGAAGTGACTTTTGAGTCGACTCAAAAGCAGCTAGAACGATGGCAGCAAGGGACATGACACCCTAGAAGTGACTTTTGAGTCGACTCGAAAGCAGCTAGAACGATGGCAGCAAGGGACATGACACCCTAGAAGTGACTTTTGAGTCGACTCGAAAGCAGCTAGAACGATGGCAGCAAGGGACATGACACCCTAGAAGTGACTTTTGAGTCGACTCAAAAGCAGCTAGAACGATGGCAGCAAGGGACATGACACCCTAGAAGTGACTTTTGAGTCGACTCGAAAGCAGCTAGAACGATGGCAGCAAGGGACATGACACCCTAGAAGTGACTTTTGAGTCGACTCGAAAGCAGCTAGAACGATGGCAGCAAGGGACATGACACCCTAGAAGTGACTTTTGAGTCGACCCGAAAGCAGCTAGAACGATGGCAGCAAGGGACATGACACCCTAGAAGTGACTTTTGAGTCGACTCGAAAGCAACTAGAACGATGGCAGCAAGGGACATGACACCCTAGAAGTGACTTTTGAGTCGACTCGAAAGCAGCTAGAACGATGGCAGCAAGGGACATGACACCCTAGAAGTGACTTTTGAGTCGACTCGAAAGCAGCTAGAACGATGGCAGCAAGGGACATGACACCCTAGAAGTGACTTTTGAGTCGACTCCAAAGCAGCTAGAACGATGGCAGCAAGGGACATGACACCCTAGAAGTGACTTTTGAGTCGACTCGAAAGCAGCTAGAACGATGGCAGCAAGGGACATGACACCCTAGAAGTGACTTTTGAGTCGACTCGAAAGCAGCTAGAACGATGGCAGCAAGGGACATGACACCCTAGAAGTGACTTTTGAGTCGACTCAAAAGCAGCTAGAACGATGGCAGCAAGGGACATGACACCCTAGAAGTGACTTTTGAGTCGACTCGAAAGCAGCTAGAACGATGGCAGCAAGGGACATGACACCCTAGAAGTGACTGTTGAGTCGACTCGAAAGCAGCTAGAACGATGGCAGCAAGGGACATGACACCCTAGAAGTGACTTTTGAGTCGACTCAAAAGCAGCTAGAACGATGGCAGCAAGGGACATGACACCCTAGAAGTGACTTTTGAGTCGACTCAAAAGCAGCTAGAACGATGGCAGCAAGGGACATGACACCCTAGAAGTGACTTTTGAGTCGACTCGAAAGCAGCTAGAACGATGGCAGCAAGGGACATGACACCCTAGAAGTGACTTTTGAGTCGACTCGAAAGCAGCTAGAACGATGGCAGCAAGGGACATGACACCCTAGAAGTGACTTTTGAGTCGACTCAAAAGCAGCTAGAACGATGGCAGCAAGGGACATGACACCCTAGAAGTGACTTTTGAGTCGACTCGAAAGCAGCTAGAACGATGGCAGCAAGGGACATGACACCCTAGAAGTGACTTTTGAGTCGACTCGAAAGCAGCTAGAACGATGGCAGCAAGGGACATGACACCCTAGAAGTGACTTTTGAGTCGACCCGAAAGCAGCTAGAACGATGGCAGCAAGGGACATGACACCCTAGAAGTGACTTTTGAGTCGACTCGAAAGCAACTAGAACGATGGCAGCAAGGGACATGACACCCTAGAAGTGACTTTTGAGTCGACTCGAAAGCAGCTAGAACGATGGCAGCAAGGGACATGACACCCTAGAAGTGACTTTTGAGTCGACTCGAAAGCAGCTAGAACGATGGCAGCAAGGGACATGACACCCTAGAAGTGACTTTTGAGTCGACTCGAAAGCAGCTAGAACGATGGCAGCAAGGGACATGACACCCTAGAAGTGACTTTTGAGTCGACTCAAAAGCAGCTAGAACGATGGCAGCAAGGGACATGACACCCTAGAAGTGACTTTTGAGTCGACTCGAAAGCAGCTAGAACGATGGCAGCAAGGGACATGACACCCTAGAAGTGACTGTTGAGTCGACTCGAAAGCAGCTAGAACGATGGCAGCAAGGGACATGACACCCTAGAAGTGACTTTTGAGTCGACTCAAAAGCAGCTAGAACGATGGCAGCAAGGGACATGACACCCTAGAAGTGACTTTTGAGTCGACTCAAAAGCAGCTAGAACGATGGCAGCAAGGGACATGACACCCTAGAAGTGACTTTTGAGTCGACTCGAAAGCAGCTAGAACGATGGCAGCAAGGGACATGACACCCTAGAAGTGACTTTTGAGTCGACTCGAAAGCAGCTAGAACGATGGCAGCAAGGGACATGACACCCTAGAAGTGACTTTTGAGTCGACTCAAAAGCAGCTAGAACGATGGCAGCAAGGGACATGACACCCTAGAAGTGACTTTTGAGTCGACTCGAAAGCAGCTAGAACGATGGCAGCAAGGGACATGACACCCTAGAAGTGACTTTTGAGTCGACTCGAAAGCAGCTAGAACGATGGCAGCAAGGGACATGACACCCTAGAAGTGACTTTTGAGTCGACTCGAAAGCAGCTAGAACGATGGCAGCAAGGGACATGACACCCTAGAAGTGACTTTTGAGTCGACTCGAAAGCAGCTAGAACGATGGCAGCAAGGGACATGACACCCTAGAAGTGACTTTTGAGTCGACTCGAAAGCAGCTAGAACGATGGCAGCAAAGGACATGACACCCGAATGGTCCGTTGTATTAATAAGCACTATGCATACAAGCATGGAAGATTGATGGTGACGCAACCATCCTACTCGCCACCCTAGAACGGGACAAGGAGGATTCAGGGCCTGATCCGTGGTGCAACGGCCATGGGTAACAAGACTTCAGGATACATACGAGCAAGGTTAAAAAATACGGTCGTTTTTTTGTATTTGCTCTACGATTTCTCACAGGAGCCTATTATACAAAACCGTTTTTTACCGTAACTTTTCAAAAAAACGACTGTATTTTTAATCCTTGCATACGAGCAATATGAGAAGCGATATCAATGCCAAACGACTCAATTAACAACAATAAGCAAAGAAAAAGACACCTCGGGCACTTCTAGGAACCGGATCGCCATTTGAGTCGACTCAATTGTCGCATTGCCAGCAATAAGAGAAGCTAAGGCCGCCTAGGGCACCTCGATGGGACCAGATCTAGCGTCCAGACTCGTGGGACTCCGGCACATAATGAAGTTGCTTAAGAAATTTCTCAAAAGCACCATATGGGTAACGCCTTGCCAGCAATCAGAGAAGCTAAGGCCGCCTCGGGTCCCTATATGGAACCGGTTCGACTTTTGAGACAGCTGAAATGTCATCTTACCAGCAATCAGAGATGCAAATGCCACCTCGGGCCCTTCCAAAGAGCTCGATGTAGAATCTGGCTCGCGGGACTACAGCGCATATTGGAGTTGCTTTGGGGGAATCCCGACAGCTACAATGGCAGACTCCTTACCGGCAATTAGAGAAGCAAATGCCGCCTCGGGCCCTTCCAAGGAACCGGATGTAGCATCTGGCTCGCGGGAGTCTTGAACCGACTTGGATGGGATATCAGGTGAAGAAGGAGATGCAGTGCGGTCGGATGCGGTTAAGGGGGTTTGGGCGAGAGAGGGGGAAGAGGCGGAGGGCGTGGAGTCTGTGGGTCGACCCATGGCGGATGTGCGTGAGGGGGAGGCGGGGGGGAGGAAGGGGAGTGATGATGGAGGTGCGGAGACTGGGGAATAAGCAGGGGGGGGTGGGGAAGGAGAGGGCGGATGGGAAGGGAAGGCGCGGAAGAAGGTGGGAGGGGGACGAGGCGGGTGGGGGTGCGCCACGGTGAATCGCGGTTGGATTCGGTGACAACGAGTGAATACAGGATCTGTGTCGGTGCTAGTCTCTTTGATCGAACGGTGCGACGATCGGATCGCGACGTCGAGGTATGGACTTATCTCGAGTCAGAGACCGGGGCGAATCTGACGTGGCAGGAAGGACGAGACTAACGAAAGAGAGGTACGGTCGGAGGGATCTCGGGGAGGATCCCGCGGTTTGAACACGAAAGGATGAGATACGGCGACGACGAGCGACTCGGAGAGCGCTTGCAGCAATGTCACTGCGAGTGCGCGGCGCGAAAGGAGCATAAGACAATAAGCTAGGGGCGTGACGGAGAGAAGAGTTAGCGATCGTAAAGACCGTTGGGCGGGTGGGGAGGATGAGAAGTGTGGCGCTACGCCATAGAATGCGATCATGCGATCGAGGATGCAGGGTAAGCTGGCAATCTCAAGGAATGAGGGGCTGAAGACGGGCTCCCCACCGCACAGAATCTCCTGTGTACCAGTCTAGACCCAACAAAACCACCTCTAATCCCGTAAAAAGCTGCCTCAAGAGGGAGCGACAAATTGTGAGGGCCGGCCATGCACCTGTACGCGCTACTGCAAGGAGTGTGTGTTTGGTGACTCGCATTTGTATCCAGCCGATATATTCGCGGTTATGAAAGTCAGTAGCAGGTAGTTACAGACGAATGCTCCGAAAAAAACATTTTGCAGGTGACACGACGTTCGCCAGAACAACCACAACTCGTTGCACTTTTCTTCCACTCTACACGCAACCTATGTTCGCCACACACTTATTTCCAGAAACATCGATTTTGCCGTCGGTCACTCACTATCTTCGAGTGCTGACCTCCTGTAGAGATACATACGAATCTCTTAGTACGCTCGGTCTTAGTACGCTCAGTCTTAGTACGCTCAGTATTTTCCCTCTGTGACTAGACGGAAGGAGATAGTACCATCTGGTTCTTTCTCTAGTCAGAAGAGATGATTGAAGTGGTGCTCAACGACCGGTTAGGGAAGAAGATTAGGGTCAAGTGTAACGAGGATGACACTATCGGAGACCTGAAGAAGCTGGTCGCAGCTCAGACGGGGACGCGGCCCGAGAAGATTCGGATTCAGAAGTGGTACAACATCTATAAGGACCACATCACGCTCGCCGACTACGAGATTCATGACGGCATGGGTCTCGAGCTTTACTACAATTAGTCGCCTGACAATTAGCTGTGCTGCCATTAATGCCGGACGCGATCGATGGGTGCTCAGAAATCTACAATTTGCGGACTTAGCGAAGTGATTTTATCTTTCCAAGCGCTAGGGCTTCATGCTTTTCTAAGCTGTATATTTCCACTAGAAAGACGCCAGACAGGTAGTTCTTTGGAGCTCGTCCATGGCCTTTTTAGTTTCCGAACGTAGACGACTCTTGTCCGTGGTTGTATTCTCTGCACATTTCCTGGCTCTTTGATTCCCTTCCCTACATGTTTCGAGAAACCCTGATAGGCACAGGTAGTCGAAGGCAGCTACCGTATTGAGATCAAGCGGATGTACCTTATCAACCGATTTTATGACAATCTGTGTGATATTTTAATGCCGTTCAAGAATCCTTGCATGCTTTCAACATGCTGTGACATTAGACACTCATATCCGGGCATGCTTTCAACATGCTGTGACATTCGACACTCATATCCGGGCATGCTTTCAACATGCTGTGACATTAGACACTCATTAGACACTCATATCCGGGCATCCGATCTATGCTGGCCCTGCATAGAGCTAATACCCTAGCAACACCATGAGTGGCAGCCATACTTGAGAACAGTGGGTGAGGGGGAGAACATCAACGCGTGCTGCTCATCACAAGCTACCTCCCTAACAGCACAGATCCTACCCCCTCTGCATCATTCCGTGCTGCTTACTGCACCATAATGCCATGAGGCGAAGTTATGCCTGTGGGGCAGCTTGGTGGGAGTACTAGAAGAGCTAGTATCAACTCCTGCTGCTGGACACATGTTCCACATGTCCCCCCCATAGTAACATGGATGCTCTTGGAGCCATTTCGTGTCACCTAATGGACCACTCTGTCATCACGAGGTGATGTCGCTCGCTGTTGTCACACGACACGGATGCCATGAGATCATGTCATCGGATGATGTCATGAAATGACGTCATGGGATGATGTCATACTTGCAGAGCTGCTTGGATGGAGCGTGTGAGTGAGAGGATCTCAAACGGTGGCCGTTCGGCCACAGCCTTGGCTGTAGCGGGGCAGGAGTCCGTTATCCAGAAGTGTGCGAAGCCCTCCGATGGATTGCCTGGAAGCAAAAATGGTGGCGCACACAAGTGAGTCCATGTCACTGCTAAGCTGTCAACATGCCAGCTCTGTGGCCTCACCATTCCCATCATTCACAATATTATAACTACTACTGTATTGTTATTCAGAACAGTTTTGTGCTGGTGAGGGTGCTCAGCTCACAAGGAGGAGGAAGGATAAGCAGTGACACTCAATTGCAGTTTCATAACATTCCCCCTTGCCTCTGAGAGGACTACCGTAACCAGTACCCTAATTTTCAACATGCCCGCTCTGTGGCCTCTCCATTCCCATCATGCTGAAGTGGCACCATTCCGGTGGGAGAACACCCCATGCACCCCTTAAGGCATGCTTTTAGGTGCCCCAAGCATGATTGCATGCCTCCAAGGTTGATACTATGTGCATCATAAGTGAATCATACGCACATTATAACTTAGTCAACAGACTCTTCTCACCATTGGCATCGTGGTTGAAGTGTCGCCGTGTCTTGTTCGGACACACCCCGTGGGTCACATATGACGTGTTTTGACGTGACTGAACACACCCTTTTCTCACCGTTGGCATCGTGGTTGAATCGTCGCCATGTCTGGTTGGGGAACACCCCGTGGGTCACATACGCACTCACTTTCGCCGCTCCATGCGCTGCCAGGAGCCTCTGTAAGATGATGCAGCGCACACACGGGAATCAAATACAGAATGATTTTGGTCATAACTTATAATATCACTAAATGTCATGCGGCAGCCGATTTCTTACGCGCCTTGAAAAACGTCTTTCCCGGGCCCATATGCAGCCAGCAGGCTCTGTAAGTTGATCGAACGCACGTATGGGACGCAGAGGCAATAGGGGTGTTGGTCATAACGTAAATCATTACATTGCATTGCACGTGCCACCCCCAAAGGTTCCCACCAGTTAGGGTGATGCTTTTTTGTCACACAACCACCTGGCACCCTGTGAGCATTAACCCTGAATGCACAAGAGCACCCACGACACCACGTGTCTGCATGCTGGGAAATTCTGTACAGACACACCCCGCCTGGCACTCAATGAGCGTCAATCCCAACTGCACAAGTCATCCACAATCACCAGATGCCGGCCCTCGGGGTTACCCTCCTTGAGCTGGTGTGCTAATAGCCACAAACAATGCCACATCCCAACGCACCTGGCATTCAATGAGCGTCGATCCCGACTGCACCAAGTCATCTACAATCACCACGTGCCGCCCCTTAGTGCTCCCCCCCAACTTCACAGTCTGCCGTACCCGCCACTCTAATCCCACCCCACCTGGCATTCAATGAGCGTCGATCCCGACTGCACCAAGTCATCCACGATCACCACGTGCCGCCCCTTGGGGTTGCCCTCCTTGAGCTGAACAATGCGCTTCTCCCCCTCGCGCACCTTGGTGCAGATCACCTGGTGGTGCAAGAGGGATGTGCAAGGGGGGGTGCGCAAGGGGGGGTGGCACAGAGAGTATGCTTGAATGAGCAATGGCAGTCAGATCCCTCTTTCAGCTGCACGATGCGCTTCTCCCCTTCCCGAACCTTGGTGCAGATCACCTGGTGGTACAGACAAGGAGCGACATAGAGAGTGAGCAAATCAGCACCCACGACCCTCCTTCAGCTGCACGATCCGCTTCTCCCCTTTGCGCGCCTTGGTGCAGATCACCTGGCAGAACAAGGGCAAATTGGGCAAACAAGGAGCAGCACAAAGCAGGTACTCAGCCAACAGCAGTTCTCAAACCACCTGCAGTGCACTGCACGTTCCTATGTGCCATGGTTTGGGAGAACAGCATGTTGGAAAGCAAGCAGCAATATCAAGCACGCCATGTTTCTGGCTCAAATCCATTCAACTCTTTGAAAGACCAACACTTGAGGCAACGTACCATGGGGTAGTGCTGCAACGTACCATGGGGTAGTGCTGCAACGTACCATGGGGTAGTGCTGCAACGTACCATGGGGTAGTGCTGCAACATACCATGGGGTAGTGCTGCAACATACCATGGGGTAGTGCTGCAACATACCATGGGGTAGTGCTGCAACATACCATGGGGTAGTGCTGCAACATACCATGGGGTAGTGCTGCAACATACCATGGGGTAGTGCTGCAACATACCATGGGGTTGTGCTGCAACGCACCATGGGGTAGTGCTGCAGTTGCTTGTGAAACCTCTTCCATGCACCTTCATCCGGGAATGCGATTGTTATCTGCATGCATGGCACAAGGCAAGAGGGGCGAGTGCAAGGCACATGACAGGAGGATACGTTGAGAGGCGCATCAAAGGTATCCTGTTCCACATGATGCGCCTCTTCAGGTGGTCTCTTGTGAAACCTCTTCCATGCGCCTTCATCCGGGAATGCGATCGTTATCTGCATCACCAACCACCAACCTCTTGTGCAATGCAGTTCCTGAGGAGTGCAACCAACCACCAACTTCACCGCACTACACCGCACTTACTTCTCACCCACCACTCACATTGTCGGAGTCTGGCAGTTGGTGCAGGCGGTGCTTCAACAGAGGGATGCCGCTTTCAAAGCACGGCAGCACGTTGTCTCCAAAGTAAAACCGCTCCTGATGTGGAGAGGTGTGGGGGAGGAATGAAGGGTAAGGTGGGTTGGAAGAAGGGAGCCGGGGAGGGGGTGTACGGAACGGGAATGCCGCTTTCAAAGCACGGCAGCACGTTGTCTCCAAAGTAAAACCGCTCCTGATGGGTAAAGGGAGCGTGGGGAGGGGAGGGAGGAGAACGGTGGGATGGAAAGAAAGGGGCCGGGGGGGTGTATTGGAAAGGGAAGGTAGGACACAACGCTTCCAAAGCACGGCAGCACGTTGATTGACTCCAAAGAGAAATTGTTCCGGAGCATCGATTACAGCTTTCAGAGAGTGGCGAATAAGTGGTAAGAAAGCTCGTAAGTGGGCTGTTGCTTACCTGTCGACAGGGAAAGAAAGGACCCCATGCCCAGTGCCCACCCATCCCAGCGCCCACCCAGCCATGCCCAGTGCCCACCCACCCATGCCCAGTGCCCACCCACCCATGCCCAGTGCCCACCCACCCATGCCCAGTGCCCACCCACCCATGCCCAGTGCCCACCCACCCATGCCCAGTGCCCACCCACCCATGCCCAGTGCCCACCCACCCATGCCCAGTGCCCACCCACCCATGCCCAGTGCCCACCCACCCATGCCCAGTGCCCACCCACCCATGCCCAGTGCCCACCCACCCATGCCCAGTGCCCACCCACCCATGCCCAGTGCCCACCCACCCATGCCCAGTGCCCACCCACCCAGCCCAGTGCATGTATCAACAACCCTTCCTCCAGTGCTTGAGAGTACCTGCAGCGCATGAATGTCAAAGATGACAAGGCTGGTGGGGCCCCCTCGCGAGATGGGGATGTTGGAGAGAATTCAAGAGTGTGGAGGTGAGGTGAGGTATACACCCACCCCGGTACCTACCCTACCCCCCCACTTTTTTCAGCTACTGCCTGAGATGAGAGTACCTGCAGCGCGTGAATGTCGAAGATGACAAGGCTGGTGGGGCCCCCTCGCGAGATGGGGATGTTGGAGAGAATTCAAGAGTGTGGAGGTGAGGTGAGGTATACACCCACCCCGGTACCTACCCTACCCCCCCACTTTTTTCAGCTACTGCCTGAGATGAGAGTACCTGCAGCGCGTGAATGTCGAAGATGACAAGGCTGGTGGGGCCCCCTCGCGAGATGGGGATGTTGGAGAGAATTCAAGAGTGTGGAGGTGAGGTGAGGTATACACCCACCCCGGTACCTACCCTACCCCCCCACTTTTTTCAGCTACTGCCTGAGATGAGAGTACCTGCAGCGCGTGAATGTCGAAGATGACAAGGCTGGTGGGGCCCCCTCGCGAGATGGGGATGTTGGAGAGGATGCGGGAGAGAGTAAATGCTGTCGCCACGTCCCCTTCATCCTCCATTCTCTCGCTGAGAGGCAAATAGCAAGGGTGGGTGGGGTTGGGGAGGGCAGGGACGGAAGGTAGAGGAGCAGTGGAAATGAAATGAGACGAGCAAGACGAGCAGGAGAGGTATCCGTGAGGTGTGTCGTGTGCCATTGTAACGAGGTGACTTTTGAGTCGACTCAAAGGTATCCGTGAGATCACACCGTGTCTAAAAAATGGCCAGGTTAGTTTGAAATGCGCACCGCAAAAATGCTCACTGAATGTCCACTGTATGTTTGCTAAGAAACAACCATTTTTTTAAAATGTGCTGATGGGGAAGAACAGCAGGACGAGCGTGAACAACTCGACGAACATCCGCGGGCAGGATGGCATAGATGATGGACAGCGGCTTGAAGATGGCTTGTTCACTGAAACTTCACCTTGTTCCAGTCAAGAATGCTCACTGAATGTTCACCTAGCGCTAGCGATGAAGATTCACTGAATATTCACCTTGTCCCGGTGGGGACGAATGGCAGGACGAGCGTGAACGACTCGACGAACATGCGCGGGATGGCGTAGATGATGGACAGCTGCTCGAAGATGGCTTGGAATGTTCACCTGATACTAGTAGGGGGAACATTCAGTGAATGTTCTCACCTTGTGCCGGTGGGGAAGAACGGCAGAACCAGAGTGAAGGACTCCACAAACATGCGCGGGATGGCGTAGATGATGGACAGCTGCTCGAAGATGACAGCTGGCGAGCTGAACGACGCCAGGAACGCCACGTGGCGGCCCCTGATTCCATGCGCGTTCGGCACAAAGAGGTTTGGAAAGCCGTCCTCGAACTTGCTGGGGAAAGGGTGTGTGGGGGGATGGGGTGGGAGGAGGGGGGGAAAGGGGGATGGGGTGGGAGGAGGGGGAGGGAGGGGGATGGGGTGGGAGGGGGGGGATGGGGGGATGGGGTGGGAGGGGGGGAATGGGGAGATGGGGTGGGAGGAGAGGGGGGGGAGAAGGATGGGGTGGGAGGAGGAGGAGGAGGGGGAAAGGGGGGAAAGCGTGCAACATAATGAGGTTCAGAAAGCCATCTCGACCTTGCGGAGGAAAGGGAAAAGGAGGAGGAGGGTGAAAGGTGGAAAGCGATTAGAAGGGGAAAAGGGGGAGCGATCGGAGGGGGAAAGAGAGGAAGCGATTGGAAGGCGAAAGGGAGAAAAGTGGAGGGGGAAGGGGGGAGGGGCAAAGGAGTTTGGCACAAAGAGGTTCGGAAAGCCGTCCTCGAATTTGATGAAAAAATGGCGAATGATCATCAGAAAGGGGATCAAGAAGGGCAGAGGGAGAGGCCGAACGCATTGAGAAGGGAGGGGGGAGGGGAAGTTAAGAAAGAGGGGGAGTGGGGGAGAGCGGGGGTGGGAGGGAGGGTGGGTGGTGTGGCCGGTTAAAGAGGGGGGGAAGGAGGGGTTGGGATTGAAGGAGAAGGCAAACGGCAGTCAAGCGGAAGTAGTTGGGAAGGGGAGGCGAGAGGAGCCAAGTAGCGTGCGCAAATAGAATATAACGCGCGTGAGTCTTATGACTGCACCTCACACCCGCGCCGCCACTCACCCCCATTCGATCGGCTTCAGCTCGATATTATCGACGTCCTCCGCGATACTCGCCGCGAGATCCGCCATCTCGCTACAGTAGAACAGGCACACCTGCTTCTTGGACGGCCGGTCCAGAATATGACAAACCTGGCCGTCCACCAGATCTTCCATCATCAAATCGTATCCCGACGACAGCCGCCCGTTCACCGATCCCCCCCGTTTTGTCCTATTCGCAGTGCCATTTGCTGCGCCGTTGGCCGGCGGGGCTTCCGCCAGCCGCCCCATGACCGCGGCTGCGCGCGCCAACGCGGGGGACGCGCGGAGAGGGTTTCTGCTTCCGCTTCCGCTTCCGCGCTGTCGGGGGAACCTTCCTCGCGTTTGATATTCTCTCATTCTCGCAGGCCTCGATCCGGAAAAGCCTCCCATCCGCGATAACAGCGGCTCCGCTACACGGCATTCTACCGTTGGGATGCGATTCGCAGAAGCCGCGAGCGGAAAGGGAGAGGACGAGAGGACGCTGCCGCTTTGAGTGTGTAATTGATGAGAAAGGTTCGTTTGCGAGGATGAGCGAAGTGCGTGTGCGAGATCGGCGGCGATTGTGCCGGCTGCCATGGCTGCTAACCGACTGGCCGGCCTCAGGTGCAACACGGGAGCCAGCTCACACCGTGTGACTGGGTTCGGTGCGCTGCAAGAAATGGCGAGTGGGGAAGGTAACTAACTGCTGCTGGGTTGGATAAAACTAGCAAACCGTTGAAAGCGGCAGCAGGAGCGGCTGGAAAAGATCATGCAAGAATTGAACAAACACTGATCAGCTGCTAGCTGTTAGCTGCTAGCTGTTAGCTGCTAGCTGTGATCGAAGTAACGAAAGAGAGTACGGAGAATGAAAGGGTAACGCAGTAACGAGAAAGGAAACCACCTGAGAACCTTTTCGCCAAGATCTTCGCGCTAGAGCCTGCATTTCAAGGATCGTTCAGCTGGAGAATGTATCATTTGCCACACCAAGCCGAATCAGCCAAACATCAATCGCCAGGTGGGCGTTCACTTGGTTTGGACCAAACGAGCTTCCACACAAGCACGGAAAGGGCAAATGGAAACAGGTCAAAACGGCACGAGGACGCTTGGTAGTGATGCCGAACCAAGAAAATCACCGTGCCAATCACAGTGCGCCACCACCGCCGCTTCACCTCGCACCCGCAGCCGCACAGCAGCCAACACTTGGAAGGCATGCGCAGCACAAAAAAAAATAAACCCTTTAGGAAAGGCGGGTATCAGCGACTGTTTACATAGGATTTGTTTCTTCTTATAGCTTGTAGCTTACTTCCCGTCATCACCTTTACCGCGTACAGCATTGTCCCCGCCACTTCACCCAAACAGTGTCCGATAACCACCTGAACATTCGCAACCACTTGGTAGTTTTGGTTTGGTACTGTAGCACAGTGGGCATGTGGTGGTGGTGTGGTGGGCTGCTTCCCCGATAAGCCCTCACACACAACTGATCACGATTCTGCGCGTGGAGATCATGTTACTGCCCCTCGACTGGATTCGATAACCACACAATCAGTTCGTGACCACATCCAGGAATCCCCTCCGCCAACGGACCTCACGTTGAAAATCGTGGAACTGCCACCAAGGCTCAGAGGGCCTTGTCGGTGACCAATGAAAACGCGTACACGCGGCTGGTCGGTGAAACTCGCCGTAAGCCACTCACGCGCTAAGCCTTTGTTGACTGCAGCCTGCGAAACGCGCGCCGCCCCCGAGGCTTTGCTTCGGAGCGTTGTTGTCCGTGAGGCTGTGTGCCCTGCCCAGCCCATCATGACCACAAAACGAAATTGGAAATTCAACAACCTCAGCCACGCCAGCTTCGACTGTACGTGACGAGCCAAAGAACTGAAGGCTAGTTCGTTGGTGACTTTCAGTTGCCTCGCTTGCTTGCCTTGCAGGATCGCTCTTCGACTGTTAGGTTTGGAAGGAGAGGCAAGGGAGATATGAAACGACGGTTTCAAGGCGCCAGGAGGAGTCAGGTTCGCCGCATACCTCCTTCCTCACCAACCTCACCGAACCACTGGCCCCACAAGACGAACCAACCAGGACCAAAGTAACGAGCCTCGCCGAACCAACGGCTAGGTGTTCCTTGCCACTCTTGGGACAAGAATACCCAACAGATATATTTAGGCAGATAGGTTTTCACAAATTCGCAATCCATCCCGAGTCGACCTCCAAACTCGCCTCTCTCACGCCCACCACACCCCGCCCTCGCCTCTCAGATCCATCTCACCGCGCTTCCATCATGGCCTCCTCGCGGTTCTCGTTTCTAGCAGCGTCGCTCGCGGTTCTGCTCCTCGCCACAGCCAGCTGCGCATTCGCGCGAATCCACAAGGCTGCCCCCGTTGTTAAGCCCCTCGTCTGCAAGGCTTCGAGTCTGAAGTCCTCAGGTTACACCAAGTCCGTCGCGCTCGGCGGGTGCGTGGACTCTCTAAACCCATATCTCTCGATAATTTGTTGTTTCTGAAGTATCGAAGTCCTTTTAATAATATGTCAGGTGAAATGGTGCCGCATGATTCCCTTTTTACGGAATCGGGTGTCGTGTTTCGCTACATTTGTAATCACTTATCGCACCTCCTCACCCGTCTACGTGTGTACCTCAGCCTGACCTTGCACTGGAGCCTCACCGCGGCGAAGGACGGAATCAACGCTGCGATTGTGGCGGGCAAGGGTAGCGGCGCCGAGAAGGGCTGGATATCCGTTGGCTGGACGGCCACACGTGGCAAGATGTGCAACTCCGAAGTGGTGGTGGGGAATCTCCCCGCGCCGAACACCGTGCAGGCCTACGCGATGACGAGCAAGGCCTACCCGAGTGCCGGGATTCAAACAACAAATAATGTGGCGCTCTCGGCGACATCTGTGGTAGCCACTACCCCGGCTGGTGGAAATATTGTTAAGTGAGTTCTGAAACCGCTCCGTCCATCTCGATGTGCGACAACTATTACCAGCTATGTCCCGACTGCGTCACGTTCGGCTGTCAAATCTCGTTCGGCTGTCAAATCTCGTTCGGCTGTCAGATCTCGTTCGGCGGTGTTCCGAATGCTAATCCTTTCTCCCAACTATTCTGCGCGTGTTTGTTGCACGAATTTCAGATTCACTCGCACAGGCGCCGGCAGTCTGGCTCCGGTTAACTACACGGGCATCAACAACTTGATCTGGGCCTACTCCAGCTCCCAAACTTTCGGCTACCACACCAAACGGTAATTTCTCACACCCTTGTAACGTGCGCCACGCACAAGAATTTGATTTCTCATTTTAACATGGTTTCATTTAACCTCCTTTCTCTTGTTCTTGTTGATCAGGGGGAGCGCCGTTGTCAACCTCGGATGCTAGGTCAACATTGATGGTGTGCGTTTCTACCCGTACACCGGCCCAGGCGAAGAGGAAAATGCGGGGCACGGTACTCCTAGTAGGTAGAATTGTGGCATTCGCAATCAGCTGCCGGGGTGACAGTGACACAGGCGAAAGGCACACCAGGACCAAAGGTGCAACCTTGTGGCTGATTGTTGATGCGTGTATGTGTTTATTAATGACGATTTTAGATCGTTCCATAAATCCATAACTGAACGTACTTTTTGAGTAGTAATTTTTGTTTCAGTTCAAGGCAAAATCACATATGTACAAGCATCTGTGCTGGCTTAGGGAAGATTTTAGACGGTTCAACAATGCGGAGAAGGCAGTGATATTCCAGACCTCCTGCAGTTCTTTAGCCCACCAGCTGACCTTGGACCCACTGCATCCCATCAAATCCTATTCCACCCCACTCCATTCCATTCCACCCCGTCACACCCCATCACCGTGCGAGCGCCATGAGGATAAAATTCCAGACTTCCCTAGCTGCCCTCGTGCCCTCACATAGCGCCCACTAGCACCCCCATGACGCCTTAACCGCGCCTTGTCGTAACGCCCTAGCCGTGGTTCCGCAGCCCCGCTACGCCCTAGCCGTGGCTCCGCAGCCCCATTACGCCCTAGCAGCTCCGTCGAGTCCTTGCCTCACGCCTGCCGCATGCCCTGCCGCGCCCTGTCGCACGCCTGCCGCACGCCCTGCCATGTCATGCCTCGCGCCTACCGCGCCTAGTGCTGCGCGCACTGCTGTGCGCCCTCCTGCGCCCTGTTGCGCCCAGCTGCGCCCAGCTGCACGCCCTCGTTTACCGTCCATTCGCTCTCTCCCGCGCTACTCAAGGCCTTCTCTTATGGGCCCTCGTTAGAGCTTCCCACGGCCGCTCGTTAGAGCCTCCCACTGCCCCTCGTTAGAGCCTTCCACGGCCCCTCGTTATAGCCTCTAGTGGACCCTCGTCAGAGCCACTCGCTGACCCTCATTAGAACCTCTTATAGCCCCTCGTTAGAGATTCTTGTGGCCCCTCTACAACGACCTCGTGGGCCTCTCACGTCGCACTCTTGCAAGGCCTCCGTGGGCCCCTAGCATTGCCCCCTAAACGGCCGCCGCGGGCCCCTCTCGTTGAACCCTACAGCCCCAAAGGGCACGTCGCGTCGCGCGTAGGAAGGCCCTCGCGGGCCCATCACGTCGAGCTTAGGACGCCCTCTAGAGGGCCCGTCGCATCGTGCGTAAAAAGCCCCTGCGGCCCCTCTCGCCCCTTCCCATCCCGTAGCCTCGCTGCCGCGCCAGCAGCGCGAATGCAACAGCTCGCAGCCAGCAGCGCGCAACTAGTGCGCCAATTGTGCCAGCAAGCGCCAGCAGCAGTTAGGCCGCCCCAGTAGGTGCCAGCAGCTAGGCTGCCTCCAGCAAGCACCAGCTGCAAATAGGCTGCCGCCTGCAAGCGCCAGCAGCAGCAGCGAGAGTGCCAGCCGCATTCGCTCGTGCCAGTGCTGCTCGCCCTTGCCTTCGCTACCGCCCTTGGCCGCATAGACCGCTGCCCGAGCCGCCGTTGCCGCCCCTACTACAGTCACTACTGCTCGTATTGTAGCTGTTCTTCCCACTCCTGCTGTCCCGTATCGCTCCTACTCCTGCTCCTGAGTTCGTACTGCACTTCGATACGGAGGGTTTAGTACTTGACTTCGACACGGAGGGTTTAGTACTTGACTTCGACACGGAGGGTTTAGTGCTTGACTTCGACACAGAGGGTTTAGTGCTTGAATTTGACGTGTGGTTGGACAATGTGAAGCTGTACCTGCAGAGCTAGTGCCAGGACGACGTGTGTGCCCATGTGTCTTGTGATCTGCCTGCCCTCGAGCGCCCCCCCTGCCCTTGTTACTGCTCCCACTGATGCTGAGAGGAAGGCGTATGCCGTGGATTAGACCATGTATTTGGTTTGGGTGTCTCGTGACGCAGCTACTCATCTTGCCCTTAGCATCCTCCTTTCGCACTTCGAGAGCGTGCACTTCAGCGGTAGTAGGACGGCCAAGGAGCTCTTGGATGTTGTTATTGTCCGATACTCCACTCCCTCATCTACCACCCTAGGTCATCTCATCATGCCGTATCTCTTTCCTGACCTTCCCTTGTTTCACAGTGTTTCCAACCTCATGACCCACCTCCGCACGCTTGACGCTCGCTTCCCCGACGCTTTATTTGTTTAGCAGCGTGTGGAATTCCCGTGCCCTCCCCCTATCGCTCCCACTCTTCACCTCCTCGCGACTCCACTCCCTGGCCGCCGGTCATGGTGGCGGCCCTTCCAGCTGGGCGTCGAGCCGCCATGACGTCAGGCCATGCCAGTACTGTCTTAAGTTTCTTCGTGACGCTTCCTAGCTATGCGGCCGCCTGGACCACTCTTCGGCCCGCTGCTTACGCCACCTCGATGACCTCTACCTGCTGCGCTTTGGCCTTCAGGCCACACCCCCTCTCCCCCCCCACACCCCTCTCCAGCCTAGTGCTCTCTGTGGCATCATGGTGTGACTGTTTTCACTAATAGCATGGATGATATGTCTGGTCCTTTGTATACTCATGACTCTAGTGTTTCTGGGTCCTATTATTCTTCTGTATGTAGTCTAGGATCAGTAGCTGATGCAGTATAGGACCGTCTGCTGTTACTAGCACAGGTGTGACCTCGATGGCCACGTCGCTCTCCTTCACGCACGACTCTGGCGCTTCCAAGTGCTTCTTCCGCAACCGTGCTAGCCTTATGCCTCTTCGAGCTCCCGTTGCTTTTGCACTGTTGACTCGTGGACCGGACATTGCGCGTAATTCTCTTACGCTTCCGAAGTCCGGTAGTCCCCTACGGCTCTCTTACTGGTTTGCATATCCCCTCGTTCTCCAAGAACCTGTTGGGTGTTGGTCACTTTAAGATCGAGGGTGTCACCACCACATTTCATGGGCAAGAGCGGTTTGCGACCTGTACATACGCTGACACTGGGGCTCCCCGTGCCACTTAGAAGCCTGTGTTTGGTCTCTTTTCACTGCCCGCATTGAATCTACCCCAGTGTCTGCTTCTGGCCAAGTAGCTGCATCCAGCTCTTGTCAGTCTCTCACCCACCAATCGCTTGTTTTGCACCATCAACTAGGTCAGCCCTCCTTTCCACGTCTATGTCAGATAGTCTCGCATTTCATTGTCACACGTCTCCCACAATCGCAAGCCCTGCTAACTCTCTCATCTGATCTTCCTTGCACTCCCTGTATCGAGGGCCAGCAACGCGTCGCCCCTCACTCCTCCACATTGTCTCACGGCCACTGCTCCTCTCTAACGCCTGCACATGGACCTTTGGGGCCCTACCTTTGTTGTTGGGCCTCGCGAGGAGCACTGCTTCTTGGTCGTTGCGGACGAGTTTTCTTGCTACACCACGGTGCTCTCCCTGCAACAGAAGGACAATGTGCCTAATGCACTTCTCCCGTTTATTATAGCTGCTCAGCGAGGCCGTCATATACTTTGCGTGCACTCTGACCACGGTGGAAAGTTCATCTCTGGTCCGGCGCAGAGGATCAGCAATTCATTTACGCAGTTGGACTCGCCGCAACAGCATGGGATTGCTGAGCGTCGCATTGGCTTTATTATGGAGATCGCCCGTACCTCCATGTGTCATACCAGTGCTGTCCGTTTTCTGTGGCCCTTTGCAGTCCGCTACAATACACACCAGCTTAACCTATGGTTGCGTGCCTTGCAGCCATAGGCTTCGCCGACCATTCTTTGGACTGGATAGCCTGCGTCAACATCTGCGTACCATGACTAGAGCTGCCGTGCTTACGTCCGCTAATAGCTTATACTTCTTGTCGGCATTTAAGTCACAGTTGTGGCAAAAATGGTAAAATCCCTTTACGGATAAAGCTTCTCTCAAGCTCAACTTGCCAGCTCTGTTAGCAATCATCATACGGACAGGGACAAGCTCTCAGCTCACTCTGTCACCTGTGTCTTCCTTGGTTTCCATCTAAACACTCCTGCTTGGATCTTCTACCACCCTCCTTCCCGCGGGTGTTCTTGTGACATCACTTTTGACAATTATGGTTCCTTTTATATTCACTTCCCGAGTTTGTCACTGCCACTCCCCTGTCTGGTCCCCTTTTAGTAGCCCCCTTCTCCTTGCATCTTGCCCAACCTAGTCTGTCTCACATCACCCCACAGTCCCCTCTCATCCGCGTCCTCATCGTCAGATTCATCGCAGCAGCCTTGGTTGCCGCCACCCGGTTTCACGTCACAACAACCATACACTGTAGATGTTGGAGGCGCTGGTCCGGGGGGTGCAGTTGTCGAGGTTGCTGACCCTGTCGGTGCAGTCTCCAAATGTGCAAGTTCTAGGGGTGCTGACACTGGTGGAGTTAAATCTGGGTGTGCGACGTTGGTGGTATTAGTGTTGAGGGTGTTCACATTGGTGGTTCTGGGTTTGGGGGGCTTACGCTTGTGGTTTTGTCGTTCGGCGAGACTGCAGCAGCAGAGACATTTGCAACGGCAACAACAGCAGCCACAACAGTAGCAGCAGTGTCGTCAAGTTGATACGCAGCTACTTGCGACTGCCATTATCATTATTCTTTTCTAGGGGGGTGGTCTATAATCTAGACTCTTGAATTCCGCACTTGATTTCTTTATTTTCCAACACGCCAAGATGCGATATTCTGAAGCGCTGCAAAATACACTCGTTTCAATTTTTGCCGTCCGCTGCTTCGCATCGACCTGGACGATATCCATCAGGTAGGCGGTCGTGGGGGATGCCGATCCCTCCGTCCCAGAATGTGTGTTTGGCTGGTGGCGTGTGTGGCTGCTAGTGTTCAGTAAATCGAACAGTTCGGATGCGCTAACAATACTCATGTAGCTGCTGTAATT